TCTTTGTTATCCCATCAATTCTGCTCTGCAGGAAGGACCTGGAGCTGCTGAAGAGAGTCCAGAGGAGACCCAGGAGATGCTCCAAGGGCTGGAACCCCTCTGGAGCCAGGCTGGGAGAGCTGGGGGGTTTCCCCTGGAGAAGAGAAGGCTCCAGGGAGAGCTGAGAGCCCCTGGCAGGGACTAAAGGGGCTCCAGGAGAGCTGGAGAGGGACTGGGGACAAGGGATGGAGGGACAGGACACAGGGAATGGCTTCCCACTGCCAGAGGGCAGGGAGAGATGGGAGATTGGGAAGGAATTCCTGGCTGGGAGGGTGGGGAGGCCCTGGAAAAGAATTCCCAGAAAGCTGTGGCTGCTCTTGGATCCCTGGAAGTGTCCAAGGCCAGGTTGGGATCCCTGATCTAGTGGGAGGTGTCCTTGCCCATGGCAGGGGTGGGATGAGGTACCTTTAAGGTCTCTTCCAACCCAAACCAGTTTGGGATTCCAAGATTTCAACCTGGATGTGAAAGAATTAAGGAAACTCCACAGGAGGTGAACCAAGACATAATAAAACAACTCCACAAATATTCCACAGAATCTCCAGGGACATGAATATTCCACATCAGCTCCAGGGACATCAACAGGGATTTGGGAGGAAGATCTTGGGGCTGCAGGAGCCTTTTTCCACCTAGAGCTGGAGTTGGGTTACAGGAGACTGGAATTGTTCCAGGGAATATTCCCAGCACGGGATAAACTCACTCCTGTGACCCAACTGCCTCCCCCTCGCCCCTAAAGCTGCTGCAATAGAAAAGCAGCCAAAATCCAGGGATATTTCCTGGAAATGGAGCTGCAAACTGAGATTTAAGTGGAACTCTGAGCAAAAGGAATGGTTGTTCTCCCATAAATCCCAGACCAACCTTTTAACCCTGGAATGAGAGATTTTCTCTGGGTCTCCTTTCTACCATCCAATAAAAATATATAATAAATAAAATAAAAATCTTCAGCTTCTCTGTTTGCTAAATCTGTTGGATAAAACTTTTTCTCTCCCTGACTTCCACATTATAATCAGAATTCTTTTGACATCAACCTGACCTTTTGCCCCACCTTCTTCTCCTCCAGCTGTGCAACCTGTGTCCATAAGGAGAAGGGAAAGCAAGAGGAATACAAAAATACATTTTCAGTGAAAGAATTAAGACTTTTTTTCCCTAAAACATGCTAAATTCTCCTCTGGGAAGGAGCAGCAAAAGCTTTCTTGCAGAAAATCTGCTTCTTTAAATGAAAATACTTCGTTTCTACCTTATTTTCCTTCCTTGTAAAAGGAGAAAGTGTCCTCCAGAAGCCAAGGAAAAAAAAATTTCCTGGCAGTAAAGAATAAAAGGTTCTTTCTTTCAAAGAAGAAAGATGAGATGGACTTTTAAAGAGACACTTCCAGAGAAAAGAAACAAAGAGTTCAAGGCTGGGATGAATTTCTGAAGAAGTTTCTTCTCCTGGTGGCTCAGCAAGGATGGAACCCTCCCTCCTGGGAATACGATTCCAAGGGAAATGAGGGTGTTTGTTTGGACCTGATGTGAGAAATGAGGATTGTCAGGCAGAGCTGGGAGAGCAGAACGTGTTTGAGACACGGGAAATAAAGGACAGAAAGTTGTCTGCTAAAAAAAAAAATCATCCCTAATTTAAGATCTTTCCAGAAGAAACTAGAAAAGGAAACCGAGGAGATGAGGAGAAGAGTTCCAAGGGATGGAGGGACAGGACACAGGGAATGGCTTTGAGCTGGAAAAGGGGAGATTCAGGTGGGATATTGGGAAGGAATTCCTGGCTGGGAGGGTGGGGAGGCCCTGGAAAAAAATTCCCAGAGAAGCTGTGGCTTGCCCTGGATCCCTGGAAGTGTCCAAGGCCAGGTTGGAGCAACCTGGGATGGTGGAAGGTGTCCCTGTTGGAACCAGATGATCTTTAAGGTCCCTCCTAACCCAACCATGAATTTAGAATTCTGGGAACAGCTCTGCTCTGGAGGAGATTCAGAAGGAATTTGCAGCCACTCCTGGCCTGGAGATTTGCAATTCTAATGTCCCACAATTAGCTCAGGAGGCAGAATTCCTGCTATGGATCCAGGGAGAGCTGAGAGCCCCTTCCAGGGCTTAAAGGGGCTCCAGGAGAGCTGGAGAGGGACTGGGGACAAGGGATGGAGGGACAGGACACAGGGAATGGCTTTGAGCTGGAAAAGTGTAGATTTAGGTGGGATCTTGGGAAGGAATTCTTGTCTGTGAGGGTGGGGAGGCCCTGGAAAAAAATTCCCAGAGAAGCTGTGGCTGCCCCTGGATCCCTGGAAGTGTCCAAGGAAAGGTTGGAGCAACCTGGGCTGGTGGAAGGTGTCCCTGCCCAGGGCAGGGGTGGCACTGGATGGGCTTTAAGGTCCCTTCCCACCCAAACCACTCCCTGATTCCATGAGAATCTTCCTGGATTCCACAAGAATCTTCCTGGATTCCATAAGAATCTTTCCAAGAGCAGCTGTGGATGGAACAGGAACTTTGGCAACACCAAACCACCTTTTATATTCCTTCTCTCCACAGTTCCCACCTTCAGCTATTTCAACACCAACCCCCAGATTTTCCCAGGTTTGTGTCAGCTCTGGAACTGCTCAAGGATCCGAGGAATTTGCAGCCTGGCTTAGCACGACCCAGGAGAGCTTTTGATGGAGTTGGTGCAGCACCACCTCCCTCACATTCCAAAATTCCAGCAGAATTCCCTCTGCCCCTCCAAGCGCCGCTAAAACCAGCGGCAGGACGAAATGGAGCTGGATGGGAATGTTGCTCCTGGAGGATTTTCCTGGAGCTCTCAGATTTACTCATCTCTCAGGGAATGTGAAAAACCTCAACCACTCATTTCTGAAATCCCAGAATATCCTCAGCTGGAAAGGACCCCCAAGGATTCTTCCCAAATTGCTTTTTTTTCCCCCTCATCAGTCCAGTTGAGAATTCCCAAAATGATTGTATGTGTTTAGTTTAATCCTTTCCTGTGCTCCTTACCCATAAATGTGAGTTTATTTAACTTCTTAGAGCAGAAAAAAACACAAGTAACAGACAAATCAGGCTAAATCCAGGTAGTTTTAGGGAAGTGGTTAATCAGAATTAGGGGGTGCATGAAAATAATACCAAATTAAACTTGCAGAGCTGAAGGAATAAGATGCATCTGTCTATGATATAATTCACTTCCAGGCTTTCCTGGGACACCTCCAGGGCTGGGCACTCCAAACCTCCCTGGGCAGCCCCTGACAAGGCCTCACCACCTTTTCCATGAGAAAATTCCTCCTGATATCCCACCTGAGCCTCCCCTGGCCCAGCTAGAGGCCGTTCCCTCTGCTTCTCCTCAATACTCCATATTTTTCACCACAATCCCAATATTCCACATTTTTCACTGCAATCCCAGTACTTCATATTTTCCACTGCAATCACAACACTCCATATTTTTCACTGCAATCCTAATACTCCACAATTTTAATTATGATCCCAATACTCCATATTTTTTACTGCAATCCAACACACCATATTTTTCACTGCAATCCCAATACTCCATATTTTTCACCACAATCCCAATATTCCATATTTTTCACTGCAATCCAAATACTTCCTATTTTTACTGACATACCAGTACTCCATATTTTTCACCACAATCCAGATTCTTCATAATTTTCACCACAATCCCAGTACTTCCTATTTTCACTGCAATCTCAATCTACAATATTTTTCACTTCAATCCCAATATTCCATATTTTTCACTGCTATCTCAATACTCATCATTTTCCACTGCACTCCCAGTACTCCATATTTGTCATCACAATCCCATTACTCTATATTTTTTACTCCAATTCCAATCCTCCATATTTTTCCTTCAATCCCAATACTCCACATTTTTCACTGTGATCCCAACACTCCATATTTTTCAACACAATCCCAATATTTCATATTTTTCACTGCAATCCCAATACTTTACATTTTCACTGCAATCCCAATATTCCATGTTTTTCACTGCAATCCAAATACTTCCTATTTTTTACTGCAATCCCAATACTCCATATTTTTCACTGCAATCCAACACTCCACATTTTTCACCACAATCCAAATGCTCCACATTTTCACTGCAATCCAAACATTCCATATTTCTCACTGCAACCCAATTCCTCATATTTTCACCACAATCCCAATCCTCCACATTTTTCACTGTGATCCCAATACCCCATATTTTTCACTACAATCCAAAGATTCCACATTTTCCACCATAATCCCAATACTCCACATTTTTCACTGCAACCCAATAACTCATATTTTTCAACATAGTCCCAATACTCCATATTTTTCACCACAATCCCAACACTCCATATTCTTGACTGTGATCCCAATATTCCATATTTTCCACTATGATCCCAATAGTCCATATTTTTCATCACAATCCCAATATTCCATATTTTTCACTGAAACCCAATCTCTCATATTTTTCACTCCAATCC